AACAATTAAAAGTTATACTAATCAATCCATTCACGCTTTTCGAATTAATTGTGTTAAAAGAAAAACTTTAATGAAAACCAATTACATTATTAAAATCACTTAAAAACTATACAGTAAATTTTACATTTTACCCTTCATATATATACGATACAAAATATCTACCAAAACTGGAAGGAAAACCTTTTCACCCAATTTTTATTATTTTGAAATTTGCCCTTTGTTTTTTACTTGTTCTTCTGTTCCTTAAATTTTTCTTTTTTGTTTGAACAAATTTAAAACTTCCTGAATAAATTTATAAAATTTATTGAAGAAAAAAAAAAAAAGATTTAAAAAATAACTTTCCTTTTCCTCTACTTAAAGCAAAAAAAAAAGTATCCTTTTAAAATTTAATTTTAACTTAATTACAATTATACAAGAACACCTACAACACTTAGTAAATTATTTTGATATTTTATTTATTCTCTTTTTGTTGTTTTTCTTTTAACAATTTTATTATGTATATGCAATGTTTAAAATTAAAATATCACCTATTACTTTCACGTTCATTTTTTAAGTGCATAGCATTTATTTACTTGAGTGTATGTATATATTGTATGGAATAGAACTTGAGAATGCTATAAGTAATATAAACTAATCAAAAGTGATTAATTTACTACATCCTTTTAAATTAAGGATATAAGATTTATTTCTCAATTTTATAAAACATAATAATGGTTAGAGGTGTATAACATATATAAATAGTTAAAGTATGTTCATTTTGAAATTAAAACTTGTGATTATCCTTGCAACAAAAAAATAAAATAATAAAATGAAGAAGTAACGAAGTGTTGCTTTATTCCTTTACACAGGAAAAAAAGTGATCATATCAATAAAATTTTGAAATTTTTAAAATACCGGTCCATTGCTTGCTAAAAATCAAATCACATTTTAAATTTTAAATTAAATTATTAAAATTTTGTTAAAGTATTATTCAATCAGTAAAAATTTTTAGTATATACCAAAATTTTTCCTAATTCCATTTCAAGAATGTTTTAAATTTTTTGAATATATTCAAAAAAGTTTGATATAAAAATTGTACTATTCTGATATAAAAATTGCTAAATATTATTGCCTGTAGAATAGAAGAGAAAATATAACATTATTTTTTTTTTGAAAAATATTTTCTGACTTAAAATGGAGCAATGGAAAAACCCCTTAAAACAAAAAGAATACATAAAATAAAAATGAGAAATGAAACGAACAAAGAAGTAAAGACTTTTTCTCTCGTTATTTCTTTACAAATAAAAAAACATAATGAAAATAAAACTATATAAAAAATTTATATAGCAAACAACAAACAAGAGAACAAGTAATTCATAAGAAGTACAGATTTCAAATCATTTAAACAACCGCCTTATAATTGGTAAAGAAACAAAAAAAAATGTAACAACTTCAAAAAAAAAAATTATTCGATCAGAACATAATCGGTTGCATAAAGTACGTGTTCTCATACGATATTTACATACCGTAAAATATCTACCAAAACTATAATACAAACTACATTTTACGAGAATACTATAAGAATGCAACAGCCTACTTATTGACACACCAACAACTTGTTAAAAATAATTAATGAATGTGAGCCATGAACAACATTTAGATTGTAGATTTTAAGGGAACCGAGTGGGAAAGGAGTAACCCCCAAGTGACCGCAGCCATTCTTGACTTGTTGTAGCCTCCCCACGTTCCCGCCTATAAGGGAGTTGGACAACAGTTCCTGAACACTTAGGGACCCATTTCCAAGACAATTGCGGCGCCGAACAGCCAGTGCCGGACAGCCGCAGAGAATGTGCGCGGTGGTCTCACCGCCACCCCCACAAAATCTGCACAGGGGGGAGCCCGACTTCCCCAGTCTATGCAGGTTGTACTTCACTAGGCAGTGCCCCGTGAAGAAATTCGCAATTGTGCGAACACGGCTCCTTTCCATCCCCATAACTCTGCGGTGAATCCGCTGGAGTACGCCGAAAGAAACACCTTCGCATATTTGAACAACGTTTAAAATAAACATATAAAATTTGAATCGATCACAATACTTTTCATATTGAATACAATAAGGTCAAGTAAAAAGGATGAGAACAAAAAATATCGTAAATTCTATTTATTATATAGTTTCTCTATTAAATAATGTAAAATTCATACATTTTTTACATCTAACAAACTAATTTATTTCATAGCATCAAAATTAAGTGTATATAAAAAAAAAAAAATTGGAAAGAGTTAACAAGGGGTTAATGTCATTTAACCAAAATTAATTTCGCATAACTACTATTATATCGAAATTAAATCTCATAAAGAATTTTAAATAAAATATAGTTTTGTAATAAGATTATTACGATAACGAAATAGATCTTATTTATTTTTTTATATAAATTCAAAATTTTAATGTACTTCTATCATAGATAGAGGAAATTAAGAATTTATGTCTAAAAACTCAATATAAAATTAAATCCAAATTAAAATATTTGACTCGCCCGGTTAAAATTAGTTAACCTTGTCAATCTATACTTTAAAAATTGAATAAAAATATTCCATTTGAATTAGTTTTTCAACTTTTTTATTATTTTAACTTTTTACTCAATCCCGCTCGACAACTTTTAAATACCTAAAATTATCTTCCCGAACAAGGTAGACTTGTACACCAAATTCTAATTTATAGAATTTTTTTGAATCAGTTTAACGTAGAAAGGCGGTCAACATAAATTAAAATTCCTTTAATCAATTTTAACTCAATTGCATTTTTACGATATAAAAAAATTTCTGTAAGAATATGATCCAAAATTTATGTAGATTCTTCCATTAAACCGAAAATTAGAATTATAATTGATTTTATTCAAAATTCTATACTAAATCAATTTTAGTTTTAAATATTTTCCATGAGTACAAATAACAAAAAAAAAGACAAATTATTTTTTTTTTTTGCTGACCTTCATTTTTATTAAGAAAAAGAAGAATCAATGGAATTTAAATTTTATTTATTATACCACACATAATCAATCGATGAAGGTAATGGTTTTACACACTAATGTACAAGTGGATAAATTCAAATAAAAAATATTTAAAAATATTTTAAAAATTAGAGAAAAAAATAAATAAATCGTCAATTCAATTAAAAGTAGAATAAAAATAAATATTATTAGCTATAAAATTTTATACAAAATTAAAATAATTTTCAATAAAATTGGTAATCCCTGCCGAAGTACAAAAATATAGAAAACGAAATTTTCAAAATTTTACGATAAACAATTTTTTTTATAAAAATGGAATATTTTACACAATATTATAAAAGAACGACCCCTATGTGATTTAAATGGCAATAATTACAACGCTTTCAATGTAAGAATTAGCAAAGTTTTTAATTTTTTTTTCATGAAATCCTTAACAATGCGGAAATATTTGTAATAATTATTGTATATAATAATAAAATTTAATAACGTATTTTCTACTTCACAAAACTTATAAAATTTTATTTAAATTATTTTCATATTATATCAAAAAAATATTAATTTAATTAGAAGAAATTAAAATATATTTGCCCCTAGAAATATGCAATTTTTCATTTTACAAAATCTATCAATATTTCTAAATGGAACTTTTCTTAATTAAAGCCCAAAAATCTTTAATGTATTTCAAAAATACTTAATTGATTTTTAATTATCGCATTTGTTTCTGTGAATTTAAATAATGAAATTCTTTGAAATTCAAAATGAATTTTGTTCAAAAATTATAGCTCCCCTTTTTTTCAATTTACAACTATTTTAATAAATATACATATTTGTTTAGATATAAATATACATACATATATACTTGAATAATATAGTCTTGTTATCCTTGAAAAATAAGGAGAAAAGAAGTAAAATAGAATTGAAAATTATAAAAGGAAAAACAATTTTTATAATGTGAAACCAATATAAGGTAAAAGCGTATATTAAGTTTTCAACGCTATACATAAACACATAGTGATATAAATTGCAAATATGTATGTATATACAAGTATATAGATATTTATATTTTACACAAATATATAGTATATGAATAGTTAAAAGAAAAATACAAAAAAATAGAAGAATCAACGATAAAGAAATTGAAGAGAACTTGAACGTGTTTAGAATAGACAAACAATTATTTAATTATATTCGAATAAAAAAACCTTCAGGACTTTTGTGAAATCAAATGGATTAAACGAAAGCCTTTTTATTGTATTGTATACCGTTATTTAGGATTTTTGCTTTTGTTTATTTCTCTTCTTTTTTCGTGCTTACTCAGACATTTTAATTTTATACTTCTATACTTTATTTCATTGTTTATTTCTTAATTATAATTTTCTCAAAGGATTTGAACGAGAGAGAGAACAAAAAACAAAAACAGGAATAAAATAAAAATTTATTTGAAAAATAAATAAAATGAGAAATGAAACAAAATATTTTAAATTTTGTAAGTATAGAAGTGTGTATTAAATGTCTTGCAAATACACACTTTGTATTGCAAATCATATTATATTGGAATTGCATAAAATCTCAGCTGGAGAAAATATTAAACAAAGCAAAATATTTGGTACTAATTAAAATTCAACTGACCAATTAATAATTTTCCTCTAAAATGCGAAGATAAACAAACAGAACTTAAGAGTGAGCTCTGATTTAAATCTTAAACATTTTTTAATAAGTTCCTAGACATCATTCGTTTTCCGTACTATCGGCTTGTATTAAATTTATGAATTAAATTTCAACAATAATTTTAATTAAATCACTAAAGTTCATCAAATCTCATCTATAATATCAATGATTGAGCCTTTTTTTCATCCTGATATTAAAAACTGACGGCCCAATTCATTATTCCTTCCAAAACAGACTATTATAATAATCGTAAAAAAAAGATTTTTTATAACAATATTAAAACAAGGAAAGTGGGTATGAAAAAAGATTTTGAACTTTTTAAAAAACAAGAATCTTATAAAAACTTACCAGTCCCAAGTGGTACATTATTTTGTCGTTGTTGTTGCTGCTGCTGTTGCTGTTGTTGGTGTAATTGCTGTTGTTGTTGTTGTAATTGTGATGATTGTAAAACGACAGCAGTAGCTGTTGTTGCTGCTGTTGTTGTAGAATTTGATGTTCTAGTAGGTTCATTTGAATCAACTTGTATATCCTCTAATACTAAACGTGTTGTTGTTGTATTATTATTTAAATTTCTATTGGTACCACAATTACCATTTAAAATATTTTGTTTACGACCACCAATATTATTATTATTACTTGAATTATTGTTACTGTTGCTGTTATTATTATTATTGTTACTATTATTACTGATGTTATTTGTATTAGGTCTATTAACAGATTTTGTTGTTGTTGTAGCTGTTGTTGATCTTTGTGTCAGTATTGTACCAGATATATTACCAGAGGACGATGTTATACCAGAATTTTTTGTTGATGATGTTAAGGTTAATGTGGTACCTCCTAAATGAGAAATGAAAATTTTAGTAAAATAATGTAGAATTGAATTACCGAACTTTCACATTTTCATTAAAAAAACTATAAGTAATACGTCTAGAAAGAAGTAATTTCACCCCAATCTAGTTCCCTTGTTTATTACAAATTTATTCATATTCATGCATGCTTAAATCACAACCAAAACCTACTCAGAACTTTAGAAATCTTCTGCAGGAATTTGTCTTTAAAACTTACCTCCTAAAATTGATGTTGTTACATCATTTGTATTTGCAGATGATAATGTTGTTGATGTTCCAATACTAGCACTACTTAAAACCGTTGCAGCATTACTACTTGGATTACGAAAAACCAATATCGATTGAGATTTATCTAAACGTTTCAAAGTTTGTAACAGAAACGGTCCACCACCAGTTGTTGTAGCTGTTGCTGTATTAGTTGTATTATTATTACTACCAATATTAGTTGCAGCATCTTGTTGCTGCTGTTGATGATGATGTTGTTGTTGCTGATTTTGATGTTGATTAGCACTATTACTACTAACACTTAATATTGAATTTTTATTATTAAGTCGTTGTTGTAAAATAATTGAACCTTCTGGAAATACATTTTTCTTAATTCCACTACCAGTTGTTGATTGTAATAGAACAGCTGTTGTTGCTGTTGTTGAACCAGACGATGATCCAGATCCATCATGATGTATATTACTTGTTGTTGTTTTAATTGGTGCCTGTAGCAAAATTGTTTGATTGCCTGTCGATGAAGTCCCTGTACTTGTTTTCAAACGTGGTTGCTGTAATATAATTTGTTGATGTTGATGTGATTTATCATCATGTGATGAAGAATTATCATTACGATTATTATTGTTAAGATTACTATTATTATTATTATTATTAGCAGCTGCAGCTGCATTTAATAAACTTAAAAGTTCATGTGAATTTTGTAAAATGATTTGTCCATTTTCAGTTCTGGCTCCACGCACCAATATTATATTACTATGATGTTGTTGTGGTTGCTGTTGTTGTTGTTGTTGTTGTTGTTGATGCTGCTGCGGTTGTTGAATATGTTGTTGTTGTAAAGCTTTTGTTATTGATGTTGCAGCTGATATTGTAGTACTTGTTCCAATTGATGTTGATGTTTGTTGAAATTTTTGTAAATGAATTGATGTACCTCTTTGACGTATTGGTGTTGATGTTTGTTGATGGTGATGTTGCTGCTGTTGTTGTTGTTGCTGTTGTTGTTGATGATGATGATGATGAGTACTACCATCAAGATCAATACTACTTGTACCTTTTTCTAAACTTGTTGTTGATGTAGATGCTGTTGTTGTTGAACTAGATTTTGACATAGTTATAAGTTCTTTCGATGTAATTGTTGTTGATGTATTACTACTACTATTACTATTGCCATCGCTATTTTCTTCAGATGATGGTTGCCCTAAAATTAAAAAACAATAAAATTTTAATTAGTAATTAATTCTCTTAATTCAATATCAAAGAATACATAAAGAATTATAAAATATAATGAGTTGAACTTGGTATAATAAGTTGAACAGTGAGTTATATACAAAATACAATTTATTGTGATCATATAAATGATCTTTAATAGAAAATCAATTACACTTTTTTATAAAAATTCTAATACAATATTCAAATATAATGAGTTCTTGTTCCGTCTAGACAATAAACTCTTGAAAAAAAAAACATTTTCTTCCAATAATTATTGCTTCATATAGTCCAAAATAAAACCCCACACATAATACTGATGATAACATCGAAAAATTTTCTCAATATACTTATATACACAAAATCTAAAATACAATCATAACACAAACTCATATAGTTGTTTATCTATATCCTTCAAATATGTACTGACATACACATATTCAAGCAACCTGTTCATATCATTAAACAATCTTATATTTTATTAGTTGATTATAAAATAACAACATTGAATTGGTTTGAATATATTTTACTTAAGTTTTATTAAAAGTTTATGATCTGGGAAATTACTTTCTTTATGCTTGACCAGAGATTTATTAATTCACCTTGATTCTATAATAAATATTATCATCATTTTTGATAAATGATTCAAATGAACACTAGATATTTAAACGTATATTTATATTACGATTTTATATAATGTACAGGCTATGTATATGTGTTTTCACAATTTAGAAAATTCTACTTAATGAAGAGGAATGAACAACATATTTAAGGTATCATTTAAGATAAAGTGGTTCTATCCAATATCAGAAAAACAAAAAAGAATATTTTTGTAGTTATTCTTAGAATTTTCGTTAATTTTTTTTTTTTTTTGGGAAAAATTTAGGGAAATTTTATAGTGAGAATAGAAAAAACCAGCAAGGTTGAGAAAAACTTTTTAGAAGAAATCGATTGTATTAATTAAAGTTAAAGTGCTTCTTCAAGGATTTAACTAAGTTATTACGGAAAAGGTAAGAGAATTTACTTGGTATTTAACAATTTTTCAATTCAGCACCATGATAATTGTATTTGAATGAGTTCCTTTGAATGAATAAATATATGTATCCTAGCCATTTTTTGATTTAAATTAACAATTCTGAGTTATAATATTATTAAGAAACCCATAAATCAAACGTAACTAATCATTTCTTATTTTTTTCTCGTCAACCTTTAGAAAGTATAAATTTTACTTCGGTTTTAAATTTAATTTTCCACTGATATTCAAAAAATTGAAAGTAATTGCAACTTCCGTGTTTTTAAAACAAAAAAAATAGCTAAGAGTAGCCTGAAATATTCTAGATCTAATACAGGGTAATTTTGTATAACATCCAAATGTGTTTCAAAAAGTTCTGTTTAATTTCAATAAATTCTATTACCTACAAATTCCATTTCCCTTCAAATTTTTCAAAGCACTGAATAGTATTCCAAATAACAATTAACTGAAACTTCATCAATATTTCAATTGATTTCATTAATATATACATATGTACATACATATATCATTATTTAAAGATGATTACCTTAATAGTTTATTATTATTGAAAATATCTTGAAAGATATAAATTATGTTGTACACCAGGAAAATTCAACTTTATCCTTTTTGATTTTTCAATATTAGTAAAACAAAAAAGAATTCCTCCCATGGAATTTAGTACTACAACACATCAACTTTATGTTTTCCTTTTCGATTTTTTTATCTTTTGTAGAAGGGTAACTTAAAGGTCATCCTTGTTAGCAATATTTTTTGTCTTTCCATTGTATGTTTTTTTTCCTTGGTTAAGTCAAAAGGAAAATATGCTTCTTATAATTTGCTTTTTTGTAAAACAAAAAAAAAATTCTTTCTCATTCTTTTTTAAAATTAAATTTAATAATGTTCTTTGACATTTTTTGCTCGGCACAAAAATATTAAAATTTTTTTTTGCTTTTAAAATTTTTGAAAAAATTTATTAATAAATAAACGAAAATAGACAAGTAGTCCATAATTTTAAAATTTCTCAATATTTATTCTGGTAGCTATTTTTTTTTTTTTCTAAAGGAACCCTCTCAATTTTTTGTATAATTATTTTTCTAAAATCGTATTAGTCAACGTAGCTCATGATTGTTGACTAATACGATTTGCTTCCGTAGCTATAATGATCGCAATATTGGGAAAGGTACTACATATATAGAGGAAATTTTCAAAGAGTCACAATAATAGAAAAGGAGAGGTAAAATTAAATCTCCTATGAAAAAAATAAGATAGAGTTTTTAAATTTCAAGGTATTATATGATTAAGAAGAAATTAAGTCACCTTACATTTGAGACATGCTACTTGCAAAAATGACAGTTCAAGTTAATTGCAATTGAAATATTTATTTTTTAAGAAAATTTTAATTTTTAATGCAAAAACGAACTTATGTCAAAATAGAGTGAAAAGAGGTGAAAAACTAAGTATTTTAAAAATATAGACCAATTCTTTAAGGTATTACAGCTCTATTGAAAATAATAACTAATTTTTGTAAAAATGTTGGATAGGCCACAAATGTGCTAAGCCCCTTATTTGTCACTTTTGCATTGTGTTCAAGATGCTGACATCAAACATTTTAAGTCTCATTTTAACAACAATATTCTTTGTCGCTTTAAGGCAGAATATTTAATGTAGCCAATTTTTCTCAAAATTCATTCACAAGTCCTCTAATATTAAAAATAAATTTAAAATTGAATATCGTCAATGTTAATACCCAACCAACTTGTAATAATTTTCTCATGTATAATAAAATTCATATTTTAGAAAATTTTAACACCTAAGACTAAAATAACTATTAAACAAATAAGAACACTATTTGTGTATAATATAACAGTATACAATAAAATAAAACACCATTTTACCTCAATAAATCAAAACTATTATAATTAAGTCATTTTGTTTTTTTGCAAACTATCATAATACTCGTACACAGTATCTATATATCTTTTTGAATTATCATATTAAAATATTTTACAAAAGATTTTAGACACAAAGAAAAATGAAAAACAAGTACAAGAATAGTACAAATTCCCTAACCATTAACAAATTTTATATTTCAAAAAAAAAAAAAAATTAAATCTTAACAAACTTTTGAAAACAGAATTTTTTTTTTTTTGTAAAACCTCATAATAACATATTATACCAATTAATAACAATATAAACCTTTAAAAAACAAAAAATCTGTTATAAAATATTAACTTATATACTGAGAATTATGTACAATTATATGTATAACTGTTATACAAATATAACAAAGGTGAACACAAGTATATACGATAAAATTTTCACCCAAAAAAAAAAATACGAGTATTATAACAAAAGCCATTATATATGTATGTCCTTAATAAATTTATGCCATTTTGTTATCCTTTTTTCTCTCTCAAAAGTAAAAAAAAATTTATTTCTCTGTATATATGTACATATGTTCGTTAAGAATATAGAAAAAAAATTCTTTTGGGGAAATTATTTTATCCTTACTATACTTAGATTTATATAAAAAATATTATAACTATTTTAGATTATCCTTTACATTTACACATAATCTAATCCTGTTGACCATTCAAACTAAACCTCAATGGTATTTTCGTAACTATATACATATATACACACATAAAAACTAATATAACTTTGAAAACAATAAAATAGAGGACAACAGAAATTTTTTTGTGAAAAATTTACAGGTATTTTTGCGTACTTTTTCTCTTACTTTGTTTTTTTCTCTCTCTATATATTATTAATTCTTTGTCCTGAAGTTAAAAAACAAATTTAAAGAAAAACAAAAATAAAGGAAAAGAAAAAACTGTTTTTTTTCTCTGTGTAACATTTTTGACCTTTTGAGTGTTTTGAATACAAACCAGTTTTTAGTTTCAAAATAAATATACAAAAAAAAAACTTTTACGCGAATTATTTTAGAAACACACCACACGGGAAATCGTCGTATATATAAATAACCAACTACAAATATCGTTTGTAGTTGGAAAATAGTAGCGAATCTCTTTGTATAATTTGCTATATTGCACATAAATCTACCTACTTACATATAGGTAATATATTCTCAGATTATGAACAACTAGAATGATTTTAAAATGAATTTTCTTTATTGTTATATTTTATGTCTAATCTCATTCCATCTCAGTGTGCTTTAGTCATCTTTTGAAATAATTTCTAAAATGATAACAATTCAAAAAAGATCAAAACAGAGGAGAAAATATTTTGTAAACATTTAATAAAATTATGTACATTATTATGTTTATACTTATATGAAGCATTTGATGGTGATGAATAGTTTAAAAAAAAACAACATTCACCGCGAAAAGTAAAAATAAAACACCATGTCCTTTTATTTTCTATAAAAGTGGAATCCTTAGAGGTTGAAGATTATTATATAGATAGCAGTTGAAGTTGAAAAGGATTTAATTTTTTTTTTTTAAATCAAATTACTATTGGTAAATAAAGGATAATCTTATATGACATTTTAGTGTCTGATGAGCGAGTCAATTCACTGAATGTAATTTAATTAGTAAATTAAACAAATAATCTGTTAATTGGTTTATAAAAAAATTTCATTATAGTTTGAACACCAATATGCAACTGAATCTGAATCTGTAGTTTAAAATAGAGTTTAACTTTTAAATGGAAGACAATTAGGATAGCGTACCGATATTTGCCCCAAATAAACTGCACTTCAGTTGCTAAGAAGAAATAAAATTTCTTATGATACAGAAGGCACTCTTATGAATAGCACAAAAATGTGACGTATTTAAAGATAATGTTCCAATTCATTTATAAAATTAAATGCATACATTTTTGCACTGCAAGAAAGACACTAGATCAGTTTATTACACATGTGAAATACCTTCTCTTACAATATATCGAGCAGTGATAAAACATATATCTTAAAGTTTCTCTCACCCTTCTCCAGATAGTTATGCCATCTATTTCCGTCG